TGTTTTCTGCCTTGTATCTGTCTTCCATTATCCATTCCTCGATGGTTTGAAATAAATTTCACAAACCTTGCTTGGAAGATATTTTGCTGGAATATCTTGGGAGGAGCTTTTCAGAATTTGCATTTGGCAGCTAGTTTCTGAGGCACATAATAAAGAGCAAAACAAGTCAGAAAATGAAATCAGGAGATTGGATGCAGACTTTTCACATCTAGAATTTGGATTTAGAACCTAATTATTTTGGTCTTCCTCTTTTATTTCATTTGTCATTTTTGGATTGAGCACACAGGTCGAGTATTAGATTAGCAAGACGCAATTAAGATCATTACAGTCCATTGTTTCTTTCAAAACTGACAAGCATGATGACCCACATTGTGTGATCTCATGGAACGAATCTTCTCCATTCAAAATGGGTCGATATTACTCTGAATCGAAGCCGCTCTGTGAAAGATGATTGTCTATAATTTTTCTTAGAATTATCAGAATATCTGAATCCATAAGTCTAACCTTTATGTACTTACACCTCTGTTTATCTGCTATATATGAACTTAATCTCTCATAAGCCAAGAAAAGTTAAATCCAATTATGATAAAAATTTGAATTAATAAAAGCATCACTAGAATATGATGGATTTAAAGTTTAAACCTAACAGGAAACATAAGAAACAAAGCGTACAAGAAGATGATTCAAGAGTATAACCTTTGCCTGCATTAGGTGAAATCTCCAATTTTATTTTCAATATATCCTAAAATTTCTGTATTCCTTTAACCAAAAAATAAAATATATAAAGTTTTAAATTATATTGTGGTAAATTCTTGGAATTGAGAACCAAAAAGTAATGTAATGTAGGAGAACACTAGATATTTGATGGTAATGCACTATAATGTCTTCAGAATCCCACATCAGAAGATCAAGAAACGAGAGGGGTTGAGGAGTATTATAAAAGAAGACCAAGTGGAAACTTATTACATACTTACCTGGACGGGGTCAATGGGTGATCATCAAGGCCCATGGCCTAGGTTGGTGACTTCTATTGCACTTAGGAGGGGTGCCTGCCTAAGGTCGGCCCAAGAGGTCGAGCCTACGTCATAATTTGTGGTAGTGGGGGCCTGCGTTCGCGCGGCCTCTGCCCAATTTATTAGTCAAAATGTTCTTGATTTTTTTTTATCAGATAACATTGCTGCAGTTAAAATTCTGGGTTATGATTTTATGTTAGGTGTTTTTCAACTTCTTTTTTAATATGGTCAAATAGGATTGTTTTTTTGTAGGGACCTTTTACCTTTTTTCCTCGTGTGGGAGTTAGAATTAATTTCCGTTTATATACTTCTATCAACGTGGGGGTGCTACCAAATTTTGTACACGAGGGAGGGTTCTATTTTTTTTTTTTTTAATGGGAGTTTTGGGTATCGATTTATGCAGCCGAGGTCCATTTGGACGGAAATTGTCCAAAACACTGTCAGTCCACTTGGAAAATTAAGGAATCAAACATCTAATAAAATCGTCCAAAAAAAGGTATCAACATCCAATAAAACCGTCGTGGTAGCAAATAAATCAAGGAATTTTCCCGGTCAACTGACGATGTTTTGAACAGTTTACGTCCAGATAGTAAGTACATATTTATGAAATGTTAGGAACCTTTCACTAACACAAAATGAAGGTAAGAGTAAAATCTGCAAAAAAGAAAAATGTCATAAGGAAATATAGAATAGCAAGAACATTTGAATAAGTTTTTGATTCTTTAGTGGATCATAAAAATCCTCTTTTCGAAGATCTTTTCCATTGGAGATTAGAAATAGATGGGCTTTCTATAGGACCCATTTTATTGACGGGCTTCATCACTACTTTAAATACTCAAATTGTTACTAATAATTGATCAAAAATATATTTTTTATCTTATGATTCCAGAAATAAATTTAAGGGGGTCCACTTGTTCCAATTCCAATTTCATCTCTATCGAATTTTAATATCAGAATAGCGGATAAAGTCATAATTCAATAGGTCAAATCCACTTACTTTATTTTGTAGAGATAAAAGAGGGATAGAGTAAAAAATATACTTCTTTACTTTTTTTTTCTATTATTCAAAATTTTATTATTAATATGAAAACGAATTCTTTTTTAAACGTGATGGATGGACTCCTGTAATCATGACATATTTGCGCTTACTTGAACATAATTTCTTTCCATAAGAAAGGTTAATTCCACAAAACAAAAAAAAGATGGCAACATGGGGGCGAAAAAAGGAAAGAGAGGAATGAAGGTTTTCTCGCTTTTGGCATAGCGGCCCCCAATGGGAGGCTCGCACGACGGGCAATTAGCTCACTGGAAGAGCGCGCCCCTGGTAATTGCGTCGTTCCTACATGACCTGATCAATTTGATTAGGCACTCGCCATCTATTTTCATTGTTCAAATTTGACCGGTAGGTCTTTTTATCGGATAACTACGTCCTCGAGCTCAAGGTTAGTGACTGCTACTTCCATTTGCCCTTGATAAAATTTTTGCTAAAAGGCGATTAACGGTTAAATTAGCTTCTTGGCAACTCATTATAGCTCTCTTTCAAATAAAAGCTTGAATGTACTATTGAATTTTGCTGTATGTTTATGAACGATGAATCTTCTTTATGATAAACAAAGATCAATTTCGCAAGTTTGTTATTACGGGTATTTCCTACAAAGGATCGGACTAATGACGTATATAATACTGGAATTGACTGTAGCTCATTCAAATAGGGATTCCTTTGCTTAATTTGGATGCGTGTGAATATATATCACATGTAAGAAGACAATCATTTACGCTCAAATACGTTTATAGAGTGAATGAGAAGATAAGGAATTTGGAACTGCTAAATGAAAAAGGGATAGGATAAATATTTTGGAGAGTCAAATTAGCCTTTTTGGGGATAGAGTGACTCGAACCCTCACAATATTTAAAGTCGACGGATTTTCTTTTTGCTATAAATTTCATTGTTGCCAGTATTGACACGTAAAATGTGACTCTTATCTTTTTACCAGTGATTAGAAATAATATTAAAAACAAGAATAAAACTAAAATCTTAAACCAAACACACACACATTATTAACTAAAATCTTAAACCAAACACACACTCATCATTGAATTCTCTGATGCTTCCCTCAAGGAAAAGAACGAAGAGAAAATGAAAATTACATTTTCCAATAGAAAATGTAAAGAAAGATGTAAATTACATCCACAAGAGGGTAGTGAATTTAGATCTCTTCCTAATGGAGCAAAATTTAAATTTAGATCCATCGATAATTAAATGAAGATGCAAAAATGAATTTTGAAGATATCAAATATATAATCAAAATTTAAACCACCAATTTGCTACATATCAGCAAAAATCTATAAACCTGAATTTAGCATATATCAGCATGAGATTCATCTCATAAAAAGATGAAACAAATTGCAGTCAAACAACAAACCCAACTAATATCAAGATTTAGTTACTTACAATTAAAAATTGCATTACAAATTAAATTGACTCATAAGATAAGATATTGCTTAAAGTCAAGAAGGCTAAATCTTTCACATATTATTTTGTGAAGCCAAGACACTTAAAACTAGAATTGGTTGGGACAATCCCTACCGGGAAAGCCCCTCCAAAAATTGGTGTATGCCGCTATTTGCAACGAGCACACGGTATTCTTTAGTAAAAGGCGAAAGAATAGTTCGCTCTGTGCTCACTGCACGGCTGCATGGTCTGTCATAATACTGGGCCACCTATTTACTAGCCTCTCGTTCTCTCATCCCAATACTCAGTAAACGATGTGGGATTGGGACTAAATAAAATATCGTATCTTTCGCCATTATGTAACATGGACAGAGATCTAATACTCAGAATATAGTTTCGGGATAGCGAAGTTTTCGGCCACCATTTCAGAATAGATTGGAGGTTTTACTATCAATTTCATTGGCAACTAGAAATGCGCTTTATCTTTTATCCTTAAATTTTTCGATGTCAGAAAAGTTGAAAAAACTAGTGGATTTCATTGCTGTTGGGTGAGACCCACAACTTTGCAAGTAAGGGAAGAAGGTCTAGACTCTTGAGCAAAGCAAACAGTTGATCACCACCAATTTGCTCATTAAGATTCGATAGCCCTTCTAGATTTGAAAATTGTGTAGTTATTAATCCATTATGATTTTGAGAATTTGTTTGCAAGGCCTCGATTGATTCTCGCTAAGACTTGTTATCTTGCACAACTAAAATTATTGACTCTACATTTATCACGTTGAAACTCAACTTATTACTTATCTGTGAATTTGTCTATTGGGCTCCTCTTCTTAACAAACAAACTCAAGGATATGAGCTGGAGCCAATTTCTTGATCCCGTACCTAAAACCCATTACCTTGTTCGACCAAAGTCGCTGGCTTCGTATTATATCACGTGGAGAAACTAATCTATTAATCTGCATTTCGGGTTCCTCTTCTTAACATACAAAATCAGAGACAGGGGACGAGAGTCAATTCAAGTGAGCAAATGAATCCAAAAACAAGAGTAACAACAATGATAAAAGCAAAAGTGCTGCCCTTCAACACCCATTCCAGATTAAACACAACCAATTTTGCAACTTAATAAGCGGCGATTTAGTCAAAATTTACTATATTGTTTTCCAATTTTAGTATCAAGACTTACAATTTAAAATTGCTTTACGGATTAAATTGATTCTTGAGACTATTGTTTTAAAATCTTTCAGAAAAAACATTGGAACTACTAACGAGAATTGGTTGGAGGCAATCCCCATCAGGACAGACTCCTCCAAAAATAAGCGTATACCGTTATATTTGCAAAGAGCAAGCGGTATTCTTTAGTAAAAGGCGAAAGAATAGTTCGCTTTGTGCTCCCTGCGCAGCTGCATAATTCATAATTTCAGTAGAGCTCTTAATCTATAGCCTCCCATTTCTCTTCCTAAATGTGGGTAATCCTTGAATCTGCCTTTCGGGTTCCTCTTCTTTATAACATATTCGAAGAAATGAGATGGAGTCAATTCAAGTTTGATATGCATGATCAAATGATTCATAAACATAAGGGAAGGAAGCAAAGTGCTGATGGATCTTCCAAACGTGTCCTAGAAGGTCAACAGCATTTCAATTATTTACATGACTTGAAAATCCAATCTATTAACTTAAGAAACAGTTAGATTTCATCCAAACTACAATGCAAATACGACATTACTAAAGAAAGTGCACATTCTTAACAAATCCTAGATGTCCACAGTAATTTTTGCATCCAAATGCGAGAACTCTTCAAAAAATGCCTTGAAGTGCTCATACGAATGCTCAACATCATCAACTGCACACATTTCTCTAATACTGTGCATTGACAACTGAGGAGCTCCAACGTCAACCGTGCGGATGCCTACACCACTTGCCAAAATGGGACCGATGGTTGAACCACAGGGCATGTCGTTCCGAACCACAAAATCCTACGATTTGAATTTCCATCAAAATTATAATTATTTCACTACAAAATCCCAATTCTGAGTATAATGCACGTGATGCGACCAAAAAAAAAAAACTCTCTCTCTCTTTTTCTCTTAGATGACTGATCGCTATCTTGCTTGCTTTTACTGTTCAAGAAATTAGTGATGACCATCTGAAATTTATCTGAGGATAGAGCATCAGTTGAAACTAAAACCGACCTATGTATATGCTACTATTTTTCTGTTAGCTTAAGAAAGCACATTGCAAAGCACTACTAGACCAGAAAAATGCAATTTTCTCACAGGACGATAAAAAATATGCAGTTGGATTTTCATGCCACGTTAGAATTTTCAATTATTTAACATATCGAGGTAGACAGATTACCTAACAGTTAACAAAAAGAACATGAGGTGACTAATTTTAAAAAAAAAAAAAACAAAAACAAAAAGGAAGAGTTCGGAGACTAAAGTGAAATAACACTACTGGGTAACTAACACTGTTTCTGACCCTCAAGTCAGTTTCACGTTTGTGTATTGTAAGCTCGTTAGCAGATAGAATCATCTTTGGATGCTATAAGAAAAAAACTAGGACACTTTCATCTAGTGATATTTGCTGGACCAATTTATTATATTGTTATCAAAACAGTTTTTAAAAAAAAAACTTTTACTATCCCCAACCTGTATAGGAAGACCGTGCTTGGTTGCTATCTCCCGGAATACAAAGGAAGTAACTGCATTGGTTGCATATCGTTGATTTGCATTGTGCTTAATGACCAGCCCACTATGCATTCTAGGTTGATGATTTTCTTCATGCCTATCCTGATAAACAAAAATAAATCATCATAATGCAGAAGATAATCAATACAGAATCCCAAAAACAGCTCACAGCATTTCGCATACCATGTAATTAGGATGCAAGGCATGAGCCATGTCAGCTGAGACTAGGAAACTCCTCTGAATTGCTTTTGGTAGCAACTGCATGACATTCAAATTGACAAGAGATAACAGCAAACTTTGAGAGAGAGAC